ATATATATATATATATATAACCCCTTTAAAGTGCCATTAGTTACATGCATACACTAATTTGGGCAGCAGAACTAATTTTAGGGCATTTAGCGAGGGAATGGTCACTTGATGCCTGAAAAAGTGTGTCTTTAAACAAAGCTAAATATGATGCTATCAAAAGCTAAATTCTCTTACTTTTGTAGAGCTCATTTATTGCAAAAAGGCTTTGAATTTTTTTTAGAAAAACTGTCTAATGTGACCTTATAATTCGCTGTGATGGGCTTTCCCTCAATAAATACTCGATCACCAAGCTCATGGACAACTTTCAACCAAACTCAACCAGTCGTCCAATCCCAATAACTACACAACAACTTCCACCAAATAAATCAATGGCTTCAGTTTAGCAGACTGAGTATCAATCCAAGTTCTCAAGCAACAAATTTCTTGTATCTTCCAAAGAATAATTGATTAATTTCGTTTTATGTTTCTTTTCACATATGTGGCACATTATGTGACATTTTTTGAAGCACTCAAGCCCTAACCTTTCCCTATAAATAAGGGGACACCAGAAGAGCCAAGATTACACAATCTTAAACAGACTAGCCAAAAATTACTATACTATTGAAACATATAATAAATTTCTCCTCTATTCTCTTCTTTTCTATTTACTCTACTTTCTTTTCCCTTATTTTAAGTAGGATTTTAGTGTAAGCCAGAAATCAGACTTCAACAGCATGGACCATGGAACTCTTTTTTATCTTATTAATCTGTAATATATAATAAAAAAACATATCAACAACAAAGTCTCTTCAATCTGAATAATTTCAATTAGTTGGCTTTTTTTAATGAAATTACATTAGCTTCTCCTCAACCTTTATTTAAGAAAGAGAATAACAATCAATACCAGCCAAAACCCCACATCCATAAAAGGGGGTGGGAATGACAGGAGGGATATGAAAAGGCAGAGAGATGAACCAGATCACATATTCTTCATAAAAGTTCGATGACTTATATGGTCAGTTTGAAAGAATAAATGCCTTTTTATGTCATTCTAGAATGTACATAAAAGGAACCTGCCTGCAAAATATGATATCCACAGTGAACCTAATTGGTAAATTTTAAACTATAGATACATGTTACCTTCCGAAAGGAATAGCAATAATCTTTTATCCAATTTAACGCTTTAGAAAACTTAAAACAAACCTGTGCTAAAGCTGGTAACACACTCTTCTGAGTACTTTGAAGAAATCCGCTACAGTCACCAATGGCAAACACGTCTTGTATCGATGGAACACGAAGCCATTCATCTACACCAATCCTGCAAAATTTTCAGCTTCCCTGGGTAAGCTTCATAAATTTGACGAAATAACTACCAAGTACATTAGTGCAAGAGCTAATATTCTGCATGTAGAGCATGATAGTAAATTAAACTTTGTGAATCTATGATTCTCACATGTTAAATGTTAAAATAACAAAACATATGAAGCAACGATCCCACCGAAAACAGAATTGGTAAAGACAATACAGAAAACTACGATTAATTTTGTGATTTTTCACTATTATAGGGTGAAGAATATACCTGCCACCCGGTGACTTTGGCAAGTCTAAAGACTTTGTAAACGAAGAGGGACCTACACCAGTTGACCACACCAGAAGGCCATATGGAACTTTAGTTCCATCATTAAGAATTATGTTTTCAGGCTGAACATCTTTGACAATTCCTCGAATCAGGTGAACCCCAGACTACATTAAGTGTTTGGTAAAAATGGTGAAAAGAATAAAAAAAAATTTATAAGAATTCAAATAAATCATTAACAACAAAAAAAAAAAGAACATCAGCTAACATGCATTATCATTTTCTACGACAGAACAAGTAGAAACAGTCAATCTTTAGTGTTAAGTCGCATTAAAAAATTAGAGGTTTAGTTGCATATTAGATAACTGAAAAATATATCGATGTTAAAACATCAAGTGGTTGACCCTAATCCGAAGGCATAAGCTTTTGAGGAAGAAACAGGCTTAACTAATAGTGTATAACCCAATTTTGGTCTCCTTGAGTGACATTAGAGTGGTGATCACTTAGTTTAACTAATAGTGTATAACCCAATTTTGCTTTCCTTGAGTGACATTAGAGTAGTGATCACTTAGTTTGTGGCTCCCATGATTTTTTGTCATTCTTCTAATATAGTCCGGCAATGTTTAAGAGCAAGTGATTCCCCCAATGGCTCCATGTAGTTGAGTTTGCTCTTGTTGCATGATAATTTTATGAAGTTGAAAAACTTTTGCTAGGGTGGGAGTAATGGATGATGTAAAGAGCACTCATATGAGAAGGAATTTGTTAAGAAACATGAATACATACATTCATACATATATGTAGAGAGATCTCATATGAGGAGGAATTTGTTAAGACATATACATACATACATTTGCATGAAAATTTTATAAAGTTGAAAACTTTTGCTTAAGTTGAGACCTGCAATGCTCTATGGCGTTGAATGTTGGCCTTTAAAAAAGAAGCATAACAATAAGTTAAGTTTTGCCGAGATGAGAATGATTAGGTGGATGAGTGGCTTTACACTTAGAGACAAAATGCAAAATGAATATATTCGTGATATGGTTGGTGTAGCTCCTGTGACAGACGAAATTAGAGAAAGTCGTCTTAGATGGTTTGGTGACATTAAACGTCGACCATCTGATGATCCGGTTAGAAAAGTAGATGTTTTAGATTCGACTTGTGTTAAGAAAGGCAGAGGTAGATCTAGGAAGACTTAGGCTTATCGTATTAAAAATGATCTTAATTTACTAGAACTAAATGAAAATATGACACTAAGTAGGACGCAATGGAGAAAAAGGATTCATGTAGCCGACCCCACGTAGTGGGATTAAGGCTTTGTTGTTGTTGTTGTTGTTGTTGTTGAAAACTTTTGCTTGTGGGAGTAATGGATGATGTAGAGAGCTCACATACATACATACATACATACATACACACAGACACACAGACACACACATACACGCACACGCACACACGCACACGCACACACGCACACGCACACGCGCACACGCACACACGCACACGCACACACGCACACGCACACACGCACACGCACACACGCACACGCACACACGCACACGCACACACGCACACGCACACACGCACACGCACACGCACACGCACACGCACACGCACATGCACACGCACACGCACACGCACGCACACACACGCCCGAACAAGTTCGCACTTACGTTGCCGTCGTCGTCGGTGATAATCCCGCCAAACCCTCATATGCTACAGTGGTTCACAAACGCCGCTCCCCTGCCAAGCTCCCCTTTCAACCTCGCAGATAGTCCGATATTTCAGCAGATGCACCACGATTCTGTTGCAGGAAATGAAGATTGCAATCTCATAAAAAAAGTTAAAAAAAAGGGCAAACCAGCAATATTCTTCTCTGACGCTGAAATTTCAACTCGTGCAGGAAAATACAAATTTAAACTAGTTGGAAAGTTCCAATTAGGTTGGAAAGTTCCAATTAGGTTGCCAGTTCCAATTAGGTTGCCCTAAGATGAAGATCATTAGGAAGGTTTTTGAAGATTTCAAACTTGTTGGAGATTGACAGGTCGGTCATTTCAACGGAAGACATGTTATGATACAGCTGAGCATAGAAGAAGATTACACGAGAATTTTCTCAAAAAAAATCATTACAATCGAGGGCAAACATACGAAATTGCTCAAATGAACCCCTAAATTTAATCCCAGTCAAGTAGGGTTGTAAACGAGCCGAGCTTGAGCGAGCTCAGGCTGGCTCGTGTTCGGCTCGTTCAAAATAGCTCGTGCTTGTGTTTGAAATTAGCTCGTGTTTGAAATAGGCTCGTGAACAGTGTGTTCGTGTTCGGCTCGATTTATATATTTGTGTTCATGTTCAGCTTGTGTTTGGCTTAAATTAACACTGAAAAATGAGTTCAACACACAATAGATGTAAAGTGTTGGATTCAAACTTGGATCAAATTAAGCAAAACAAGGTGCATAACCACATTACCACAAGAACAGTTATGATTTAAACATAGTCATAAATATATGTAATATATTATTATATAAATAATGTGTGTAAAATATTATTATATAAATAATTATATATATTTTTTTATTTCTAGCTAAAACAAGCCGAAGACGAGCGAATGTTCGTGTTCGACTCGTTTATAATTCATGTTTTAAAAACTTGTTCTTGTTTGAATCGTTTACTTAACGAACGAGCCAAACACGAGCTACTTAACGAGCCGAACACGAGCTGTTCGCGAACAACGAGCTTTTCTGACAGCCCTACAGTCAAGAACCCCCAATTGCACTTATCTGGTTCTCATTACCTGAACTCAAGTTTCAATTCTTTAACCTACCTATCTTATATGTAATTAAGACTATCCTTGGAACATCTTTGCAAGTAGATTCACCTACAGTTCATTTCTCAAGGTCTTCTAATGCAAGAATTTTGATTGAAAGAGATATTACACTTCCAGATGTAGAAGTCTGGCTTGGATCTGCTCACAACAATGGTTGCTAGCAACAAATCATTATGGAACAAAGACCTTACTACTACAATAATTGTAAAATGTTTGGAATGTTTGGACACCCGCAAGATAAATGTTTCAGATTGCACCCACAATTGACAACTAATAGTCAAAAACAAGAACACACTATTAGTGCACCCCATGTGTCTGAACGCGCTCCCAGCAAACCTGATGACAGCCAACCTGAGGAGGGAATCACCACAAGGCAGGAGTTGGTGGCTGCCCCTGGGATCCCTTCTCTTAACCATACTACAACGGATAATGTTCGAACTGAAAATCAGGATAGTCCCACAGCTCCTATTCATGAAGCATCAGGTGCAGAGGTACCAATTCACACTTCACATATACTGGAACTTATCGAGGTGGCAACGATTGTCTTTCCTTCTACTGCGATTCTAACATCAATTCAGACTGAGGATCACATGAGCCAGTCTTCAGATGAAGAATGACAAGTTTACACTTCTCGGCAGAAGAAGAAGGTTGGGGGTACACTCCAACTTGGAAACTTAATGGATGATACTTTAGTTACTCCTGACATTGACACAGTCTTCAAAGTTTGTTATCTGACTCCGCTCCTAAAACTAAAGGAAAAGACAGGACTAAACTGACTCGTTCCTAGCTACTTGTTTTCTGCATGTTTTAAATTTGTTTTACTTTTTATTGAGTTTATTTGTATTTTTTTGTTTGAATATTACTGTACTTGTATCGTATGGGCAGGGTACCTCTTTTGAGCTCTCTCATACAACCTTTATGTATCATTTCTATTTCAATAAAATCAGCCATTGAGCTTTTCAAAAAAAAATAATGATAAAAATAAAACATGCGGCTTGTAATGCTCATGCATAATAGAGGGTAGATAGACCCTAACGGCCTAACCTACCCTCCCCAGCCACCTTGAGAGATATATATAATAAATCAAAACAAATAAAGTGATAAACAATTAATATACTTATAGGGTCATAAATATATTAACAGGATAGATAAATTTCTTGGTTTCCCAATCACTAGCCTCATCCCAACTACTGCACCCCTAATGCTACACGAATTGTAACTCTATTTTGTAATTTTTTGGAAGCCACTTTAGACTAACTTCTAGCCATAGTATATTTGATAATACACATCTCTTTCCTAATGATTGCACATTATGTGTATCTTGTCAATTTTTCCAATGCATCTTATAGCCACAATTATACATGCATAAATAAGTATATTTTTCAATGTTTGTCTTCACTATATGCCACTTTTTCCATCTCTAATAAAATCATAATCTGGATTGCATTTATCAACTTCATCTATCTTATTTCAAACAATCCCTTCAATATTCTATAGGTTCAATATTTGACAAATAGTTGCAAGGGGATAATTTCATTGCTCATTTTAATATACTTTTTTTTGGCTGGAGTTCTAATTGGACTAAATATTACTTTTTAAGTTAGAAAAGTTTGTGGAGAATGATCCTCAATTTATGGATAAAAGTAGAAGGGTTGAATTTGATGACATCCCAACATATTATTCATCCTACAGATTTTTTTACCATAATTCCTCTAAATTTTGGTAATATAATCATCAAGCGCGAAAGGTACAATCAAATATAGTCAGCTTCAATTCTCTTACCAGTTTAGAGGTAACACCTCTACTAGATCGGGTCTAAAATAAAAAATTAAAACTATTTTTTAATTTTCTTCAGAATTAGAGGCTCAAGTGCCTATACTTGCTTGCCTTATGGTGATTTTCTCTTCTACACCTGCAAGCATCACCATGGATCCACCTGTTACTGCAGTATCTCACCTCCCTCCGATTTGTGAATGCAACAAAGATTAGGATGCTCAAAAACCTTATGATTCAAATGAGAGCGCTCACAATATTGACTCTCTAGTAGATAGGAGTTTTCAAATACTATATATTATATGGGACAGGAATAAAAAGAAAAAAATTCATTATGTCTTCACCACACTTCAATCCAAACGACTCTTTTTCTATTTACCATATCCCCAAATATTTTGTATCATAGATTATAATACTATCTTATCCTAAAGATTTGTCTTTTATATCTAGTGAGTCTTGGTAATTGTTTTTAATATACCCTTATCATTTTCAAGTTATAAGATTTTGCTTCAAAACAATGAAATATTTTTAATATCTATTAACCAACATTGAATCCACTTCATCATCTCCTAATGTAACTTCAATAGATTTGACAAATAACTGCTTATAACTTCCATTATAATAGCTAAATCAAATCTATAGCAAAGCATGACATGCATCAGCAAACCAATTGTGAAACTCAATAACCTTTGGCCTTACGGTTTATCACTTCATCAAATTCAATTGAAATGGATAGCCAAGGGATAAATTATAGAATTTGTATGTGATAAATATAATCAGTCTGAGATTAGTTGACCTATCACAACTTCTCAATTGATTTTTTTTTTTCATCTCCCAAATCCTTCATGTTTTTTTTTTCTATAATTGCTCATTATGTGTACTAATCTCACTAATATCTTCTCCTACAATCAACATATAATTCACATATAAGAGCATTATAGTATATACCTTACCAACACTTTTCGGTTTAGCAACATTGATAAGACTAATTTGATACATGGACGTATCAAATTTTCGGTACCACTATGAGGAGCATGTTTTTTAATCAATACACGTTTTTATTCAATTTGCAAACAAGGCTTTCTTCTCTAGGGACTTCAATGCCTTCATGTGCACCATATCCTCCTCAAAGTTTCCACGAAGAAAAGTTTTCTTAACATCTAAATGCACAAGGTGCAAGTTCTATGATGTTACTCTCCTCAGCATTACTCAAATGGTAATAAACTAAACAACAATATAAAATGTCTCATTAAAATCAATACTTTCAGTTTGATATAATCCTTTCATGACAAATCTTTCATTGTTATTTTTATTATCATTATTCTCTTCATTGATCTTGAAAGCTATTTATCAAGGAATGCCCTTTATCATCAGGTAGTTAATATCCAATTGTCATTTTTATATGTGTCCCTTGTCATGGAAGCTCCCACTTATATTCATCAGCATCAGTTAATAATAAACAATAAGAAAAAGGTGAATATCTATGACTCGATTTATCCACTTTAAAGATCTTCTGACTATACCACAAGAATGTTCAACTCAAGATATGTTTCAAAATACATCATCTTTACCATCTTATAACTTGGTGGACATAGCATTCAAACATTGTTAATGTATAACATTATCTTTACCATCTTATAACTTGGTGGACATAGCTTTCAAACATTGTTAAATATTCATGTAATATAATATTATGATCCCTAGTAATCTTCAAATTTTGATCATCCAAAAATCAATAGCCAAAATCAACTCCAAATACAATAAAGAATCACTTAATAGATTCAAGATATATTTAATCTCCACAAATGAAATCCACATGCACATATAAAAGACAACAAAAACTTTTATTTGAGAAAGCCAAGTTTACCTACTTATCGTTCCAAATTTGTAGAAGTAGTTTGCAGAAAAAGAGATCGTTCACCTTTTTATTAATCGATTAGAAGTGCTTATAATTTCAAGCCAAAATGCATTTGGCATTCAACATGTAACATCTTACTTCTAGCTTATTCAATCAAAGTTTTGTTCATGTACTCCCAAATCATATTTTGTTATGGAGTTTTTGGAACTATCCTCTCAACACTGATTTCACTAACAGTGCGCAATTACTTGAGTTCTTTGATATTATACTATCACCCATTATATGATTATAGGCACCTTTTCTTTGCATTATACTTTATTATTTGCTAAATTTTATCCTTTAAAAGAAAGATAGAAATCAAATTTAGTTTTCTTGAATAAAAAAATATCTTCATAGTGGAGTCATGTATAATGGTTATGTAACAATGTAAACCACTAAAGGATTCCACCAAAAATGGTCCTCAAACTCGATGTGTCTAAGCTACAATTTCTAGGTTCAAAGTCCCCTTTATACCTAAGAAAATGAACCTTTTACTTTTGAAAACACAGCCCTCATAAAAACTAGAATCTAAAGACGGCAAGTTTGGAAAATTATAATTTGAATGTAAATTTTTAATTTCTTTCTAAATCATATATCCCAACCTTTCATATCATGTATATAAATTAGTATTTGAGTTTTTTGTTGCTCCAATGTTCCAATATATAAAGTCATACATACGGACCGTTTGGCGCAACTGTGGGGGAGCGGCGCGGCCTGGGGCTGCTTTTTTCGTTCGTTTGGCACGGAGGAGGAGGAGCGGCGAGGGAGGAAATCAGTAAAAAGCGAGCCGCGGGTTATACCCCGTGGCTGGCTTTCGCGTGTGCCTTTTTAGCTTGCTGCCACGATCCCATCTTGCCCTAACTCCTGCGAAAAGGTTCTCCTCTCTCGTCGACGGTGTCGTTCGCTCCTCCCCGGTCTTCTCCCTCCTCTTT